ACCAAAAAAAAAAAAAAGATACTGAGTTTTCCTCTCTGTGAACATAGCATGACATAGTTCTCTATTTATTTATAGTGCTTTTTCAGATATCTTTGCTTGATAAACGTCTTTCATACCTTTTTTAAAGATTTTCTTGGGTACCTTAAATTTTTTGTAAATATAGTTTTAGTTTCATAGCAACACACACAGGTTTTAAAAAGTGTCAAACATGTACAAAGTAAACAGAATAGAATAAGGAATCTATGTGTTTTTCTCACTTCGCTTCAACATTCCTGGGAAGCCTGCTGTTGTGGAATCATCTGCAATAGGGTTTCTCAAACTTTATTTTAATTACCTCCTTATGGAACCTTTGTAAGCATTTTTCCCCTAATTCCCCCTTCCATGAAATTTTAATATCACAGATACATTGTAAATATGTTTATGAACTGTGTGTATATCTGTGCTTTATATGTAAAAAGATTTTTTTTTTCTCCTCAAAAAAGTGGATATTCTCACCTTGGGAGCAAGAGAAGTATCACATCCACTGAGAAAGCAAGATCCATGCTATACCCACTCTCCACACCATTTCAACTATTGTGTGCATAGTTCTCTTTCTTAGAGAAAATCTATTCACTGAAATACACAAGTCCTTTCCATATAGTTTTGAGAAATTGATACATTTGTATAACTCATACCTCCTTCAAGAAACAAGATGTCTATCTCACCAGAAAAAAATATTTTTAATTATAGATACAAATTATTTGTGGGTATTACAAAGAAACCTAATTAATTTCTTCTTATTATTTTTATTTTATGTGTTTGTTTTTCACAGTACTGGTGATTAATCCTAGGGCCTTCACACTGAGCTTCATCACTTTCCCTTTTTAAAACATTTTAAATTTTGAGGGCAGGGAATGTAGCCCAGCAGTGCCACGCCTGCCTGGCAAGCACAAGGTCCTAAGTTCGATTCCTGGTACCAAAAACATTTTTTTAAATTTTGGGACCAAGGATGTAGCTCAGTGGTGCTGTGCCTGTCTGGCAAGTGCAAAGTCCTGAGTTCAATCCCTGGTACCCCACAAAAAAAAGAGAAAAATTTTTTTTAAATTTTGAAATAGGAGGGCCGGGGATTTAGCTCAGTGGTTTCACTGCCTGCCTTGCAAGTGCAAGGACCCAAGTTCAATCCCCAGTACTAAAAAAAAAAAAATTTTTTTTGAAATAAGGTCTCGGTAAGTCACTCAGTTGCCCAGGCTGGGCTCAAACTTGCTATCCTCCTGCCCAAGTCTCCTAGAGTTCTCATAATACAGTCATACACCACCATGCCCACCTAAGAAACTTAATTTCTAAATGTTTATTCAGAATTTAGCAAACTTGCCAAACTCTTGTTGATTATAGATACATTTTGGATTTTTCATTTAGTTACATCATTCATGAATAAAGAAACTTGTTCCGGTCTAGTTATCTTTTAAATGGTTTCTATGTATATACATACATTCCTACTTGTATACATGTACACTTATATAAATATGCACAAACATATAGATGTGTATAGACTTGTATATCTTTTTTTTTTAATTTAAAGCTTCATAGAAGCAGTGCTGCATATCTTCTTACAATATAAGAAGTAGACATTCTTATATTGTTCCTGAGAAAGTTTTTCTAATGTTTTCCATTAAATAGTATGTTTGCTATGGAGTATTTGGGTGTAGGCTTTAGTAATTTAGACATTCTTGCATATTGTTTTCTTGAGCATTTTTATTAATGTGTGTTGAATTTTATCAAGTACTTAATCTACATCTCTTTATATAATGAGTTTTTCTCCTTAAGTTACTAATATACTGTATTAAACTAATATACCTTATAACATTTAAACTATTCTTATACGTATTCTAGGGTAAACTTAAGTTAGTTTATTAGTCATGATGTATTTTTTTAAATCCCTTACTAGATTGAATTTGCTTTTTGGATGGAAAATACTATTTTAGAACTTTTAGAACTTTTGCATCTTTTCATAAGAGTTATTGTCCTATTTTTTATTATATTCTTTTTCTTTCTTTTTTTTTTTTTTTTTTCTGTACTGGGGATCGAACTCAGGACCTTGCACTTGCAAGGCAGGCCCATGCCACTGAGCTAAATCCCTAGCCCTCTTATATTCTTGAGCCCTGGTGTGTGAGATCTCTAGGATTGCTATAGCAAATTACCATAAATTGCTGACTTAAAACAATAGATGTTTATTCTTTCATAATTGTGGAGACAGGGAGTTCAATATCAAAATAGGCCCTGCTCCCTCTAAAAGCTTTAAGGAGGAATCCTTTGCTTTTCCTAGCCCTTGTTGGTTGCTGCCATTCCTTGACAGGTAGTTGTATCAATCCAATTTCTCCATCTTTCCTCTGTATTTGTGTGTCCAGATTTTCTCTTCCTATAAGGATACACATCTTTTATAATAGAGCCCACTGTAATCCAGTATCACCTTATAATGATTTGGTTATATCTGTTTTTTTTTTTCAGTACCAGGGATCGAACTCAGGACCTTGCACTTGCAAGGCGGGCGCGGTACCACTGAGCTAAATCCCTGGCCCAATTTGGTTTTATCTATATAAAGTCCCTATTTTGAAATAAGGTAGTATTCTAAGGTTCCTGATGAGCATACATGTTGGGAGGGATTCGATTCAAATTAGTAGATTTGCTGTCAAGATTTTACTAGCCTCATGTAAGTACTTGGCACCAAAAAATGTCATAAAGTTTCATAACTCAATTGTGAACCACTATGACTCTTGAAGATATTGTAAAAACCTACAGCACTATACTGCTGCCTCCTTCTGTCTTGAAATGCATACAGTACAGTGGAGATGAGTTAGGCACCTGTTTAAATTTTATCACCATAAAGCATAACTCAGCATCTCTTATTTAAGTTTTACAACAACAAATACTTTTATTAATGCTGAGGTTATAAAATATTAAAGTACAGAATAAAGTAAACCCCTGAAGGCTAGCAAAAAAGCACATTCTTTACTCATTCTCAAATTCAAGATAGATGTATGAGTGTTCAGGTATTGCATATGCTTTTTTCTTTGCTGCTTCCTCGAGTCTGACTTAATGATTCTTGTGAGTATAATAATTACGATAAATCCTTAGAACTTTAAGTGATTTTCTTAGTAAGTTTGGCTGTGTATGAGTGTTGGTTTTTCCTTTTTACATACTTTAGAACTTTAAATGAGATGTAACTATAATTACATAAATTAGTGTGAGTATAAGAAAAAAATTGTGTCTATTATCTTCATTCCAGAGCTTTTAACTATCATTAATTTGCCTTGTGGGTGGCTTTTTAAAAATTTTCATTCAAATAAAAATTTTCCACTGTGGGACTGTCAAACCAATGACTTTATTATTCCTGTAAAGGAAGAAAACTGTAGAAGGTGAAACTGTATTAACAGTGAGGAAATATTGATTCAATGTACTATGTATTATACACAATAGATACTTTTTTTTTTTTTGGTAAAAGGGATCGAACTTGGGTCCTTGCACTTGTGCCCTTTTTAAGTTTTTATAAATGATGTTAGAGGCTGATTGGATTTTGCATCTTTCATTGTTAAACTATAGTTTTGTTTTTAATTTTTAGATTTTATTCACCACATTAATGACACAGACACTATACTGAGAACCAATAATAGCAGCCCTGGTAAGTATTTTGTAATTTATTTGTTTCTTTTTCCTCACCTTGTTCCAGAAGATTTAAAGTAGAACCTATGACCTTAATTTTAAGTAAATGTTTAGTACAAAATTGTTATTGTATTAACTGAGCTGCTACCAAATTGTTACTAATCATTATGTTAAAAAAGACTCCCAAAAACATTGTATTAATGTGAGCTGGGCAACATTTAGTTCATACAGGTTGTGTATCCCTCATCCAAATATCCAAAATTTGACATGCTCCCGAACCGATTAGGGACTGGGAATGTAGCACAGTGATAAAGTACTTGCCTCATATATATGTAAAGCCCTAAATTCAGTCTCCAGAACCATAAAACTAAGCCAGTCAGTGTGCAGTCAGTAAAGTCTAGGTAAATATTCCAAAATCAAAAAAACTCCAAAATCTGAAACACTTCTGGTCACAAGCATTTTGGATGAGAGATACTCAGCTTGTGTTATTACAGTTCACAGTTGTATCCAGAGTATCCATATTTGCAAATGAATAATCAACATTTTTAAAGAAACTATATCACTTATAATTTTATTAGATATATGGAAGCATACTTCTTGGTTCATAATTCACTTTAGGCATGTATTTTTAGTTACGATATTTAGACTATACAAGTTTTAACATAAAATAATCTCATGATAATGAACAGAGGCTAGTAAACATGGAAAAATAAATTGAAGTTGTTGCTTAAACATAATCTAATTTCTTAGCAAAGTTTCCTCTAATTTATTTATTAAAAATAAAGTTTTGGAGCTGGGGTATTCTCAGTGGTAGAGCAGTACTTAATAGGCAGAAGCCTCTGAGTTTGATCCCTGGCACCACAAAAAATAGTAAAACAAAAATGAAATAAACTCTTGTGGCCAGTTGATTTAATTTAATATGGAAGTCATAGGGAAGTGAATGTAAACGTTAATATAACCTTGTTAAAACCTAAAACTTTTGTGTGTTCAGGTTTCAGGGGTAAACTGATGTCATTTTTATAAAGGAACATGATCTCTAAGAGAACAACTAATTCAACACATGTATTTACAAAACCTATTATTTATCAGAAACTATGCTAGGCACTGGGGATATAACAATGAGTAGTTCCTCCTCTCGTGAAGCATACATTCTGATGTGTGTTATTTAGTGTCTTATTTTGTCCCTTAATTAAACCTCATTGGGGCCGGGGATTTAGCTCAGTGGTTCCACCGCCTGCCTTGCAAGCAGAAGGATCCGAGTTCGATCCCCAGTACCAAAAAAAACCCACCTCCTTAACCTGTCATTTGAGGGAATAAACTAGAGTGAGAAAAGAACCCGCTAAAGGTTTAGGTGGGGTTTTTTGTTTTGTTTTGCGGTACCGGGGATCAAATTCAGCACCTTGCGCTTGCAAGGCAGGCACGGCACCACTGACTAAATCCCCCACCCATGAACCAGCTAAAAGTATGTGTGTCCATAGTGTGTCCACTCACTCATGTTCTAGTGCTAACAAGTGACAGGTTAACCAGGTTTAATTAAGGGGCAAAGTAAGACACTAAATAGCACACATTAGAATAACACACATAGTTTTGAATTACTGTATTAAAACCTCTTACAGCCTGTCTCTTACCTCAGATTTTCAAAAGACCAAAAACATTGTCTTTAAATGATTTTGCTGAATAGCTATTCTGACATCAGTTGATGAAATTAATTTATTAATATCTTATTGAATTTCTTATCCAAAAGGAGTCAGTTCATCATTAAAATCACAAATATCACAACTATATTGATGGCTTGGAAAACATCAGCAAAGTCAGTTTATTTTGCATAGTGTTAGCTCATGTTGATTATCAGCATTTCATCGATTGTCTTTTAATGTTTATTTTGAACAGTGTGGTAAATAGAATATGAAACAATCCATCTTGGTGCAAAAATTACAACTAACATTTATCAAATAAATTACTTGGTACAAGGCATTGTTCTAAATGTTTTGCAGTAACCCTATGATACTGTTAATTCCTCTTTGTAGATGAAGAAGCCAAGACACAGAGAAGTTTACTTGCCCAAGAACATCTGACTGTTAATTGGCAGAATTTGTATTTAGTTGTTCTGTTGTTTTACTTCCATAGCCTGTGCTCTTAACCACTATAGTTAGCAGAAGCAAATTTCTTTCCCAAAGCATGAAAAATCCAGGTTCAAATACTAATAAAGAATGAGAATGGAAATCAAAGCTTGGTTTTGTGGCATTTCAAATAATGGACAGAGAGTAAAATTCAAAATAGAGCTGACAAAAAATATTCTTCCTCTGACAAGTAATGAGTATGATAATTGCTTTTTTATGGTCTGGGAAGATAACTCAGCAGTAGAATGCTTACTAGCATGTGTGAAACCCTGGGTTCCATCTCCAGTGCCACAAAAAAATTATTAAATAGATAAATAAGTAGGGTTCTTCACAAAGATCTGTTACTAGCCAGTGCTCTATTGTGAAACCAAATAGAATGTTAACTTTTTTCTGAAATTAGTAGGAATGATTTGTACTCTGATAACAGATGAAATTGCTACCACTAGATTAGTGTTAAGAAAAATACATTCTACTGATTTCCTAGTTCTCTGAATATTATTTAGGTTCCTAGTCTTCTGTCAAGTATGATAAATTTCCAGAATTATTTTGGACTGCATTTTCTTCAGTGATTAGATTTGTTTGTTATTAAAAGAAATCTACCTTTTGGCTTTTGAGCTACTAGTGCCACAAGCCATTACCCTAAATCATATTTCTTATATTGTTGTATAAATAAAAATAAATACCATCAATCTAATCAGTTTTCTCTCCAGCAATGGAATGAAGCGATATTTGGTGGAATAGTTTTATTTCTATCTCTAGCAGAGGTAAAAGATATACCTCAAAACTTTCTAAGACTGTCTCACGTTTAATCACTCATTTTTAGGTCAAAGATTCCTAACGTACCTAAATATAGCTCTGTATTTTTTTCAGAAAAGAGAAACTTATTCGTGGTAAATGTTGAGCATCACTCTCTGGGAGGTTGATTTTCTGCCTTTTGTGGTCTTTTCTAATATGGTCCTTTCCCATTGCAGTGATTTGTCCAAGTGCTGGGAGTGGAAGCCATCCTGACAATGACTCCATGATTTTCTACACCAATGACACAGGAGTCCAGCAGTTTGAAAAGTGGTGGAATAGGTCCAAGACAGTACCCTTTTACCTTATAGGGCTCCTCCTGCCGCTGCTCAATTTCAAATCTCCTTCGTTTTTCTCAAAATTTAATATCCTAGGTAAGGTATGATGCTGAGTTGTGGAATATCTATCTAGTGGAATACAGATTGGATTCTGTAATACTATGGTCTAATTGGGGAGAGTGTTACCTTTCAGGCCTGGTTATCTCTGTTTAATTTGTTCATTTGTATAGTATCCTGTTTTTTGTTAATCTGCAGGTTGGCACAAAGGAAAACATAGATGACCATTTTTATTTCATGTCCTTTTTTGGCTTTTTGTGACATGAGTTATTTGATTTCCCATTCTCACCTTGCTGAACAACCCATCCTTCTTTCTTCTTAAGGTATAACTAGAGAATACAGATCAAAATTTTAGGAAGAGAGCTCCAAATGGTTATTATAGGAATCATCAGTTTTAAGGGTTGGAAACATTAGAACTTACTAAAGGAGTTTATCTAATTTTTTTTGTATCATTTCCCTGTAAGAGTATTACACAGAATTGTCACCTGACTTTACACCTGAGGTCATTTTCTAACTCAGGCTTCTTAGATTTATCCTGCTTTTACTCTTTCCTTGGTGCTGCTTTTTTCTTATAATCCTGTTGCCTCTTAAAATGAACAGCCCTCTTTCTGTAAGTCCTGTTTTTCAGAAACCACCAAAGGAATGTTTTGATACTATTTAAGATGGCAAAAGGAACCCCCAGTGAGAGCTCACATCTGATTAACTGAAAAAAAAAAAAAAATACAAGGATAGGAAGACTGATAGATCCGAATAGACTGCAGGAGTTTATCTCCTCTATAAATCTGACCTCTTAGTAGGCAGCCTATATAGTATAAAACAATCAATCAGATTGTCTATCACATCAAGGAACCAGAAAATGGAAAAACAAAGTGTAAATGGTTTTCCAGAAGATAAAAAGGGGAAGTAAAAATACTTCTTTATGCCTTTTGCCTCACTGTACGCTGCCATAAACAATCAGAAAATGAAGTGTTGTGGTTATATAAGCTTTCATCTCTTGTTTTCATCCTTTCTGAATCAGCTAATCTCTAAACCCACAGTACAGCTTATACAGCTTATTTGTGGTTTCCTGATTTGCTTGCCGACTTTCCAGTGGAACAAGTCTTTTAAAAGCATATAAACTTATAGAAGGATTTGCTCAGTTGGACAAAACAATCACCAGATTTCCACCCAGACTGATTATAATCCAACTCCTTAAGCATATTCTGCTTTTGCCCTTTTCCTCAGTACTTTCTCTATTTTTAAACTTCTGTAGAGAAACTAGCATCAGGATATTCCTAGGTTTCCTGGCCATGCTCCGTAATAACTGGACTTAAGGAATCATTCTCTAACTTCTACATTGCTAAAACATGCTGCATGCCCACTTTACCTGTCTATAATACCTGGAAATGGAATCTGAGAATCTTTCCATCAATGAAATAGTACTACCCATTCAGAACCTCATATAGATACTAGATCAGATTATTCATGAATTATGTAGCTTATCACTTTTCTTAAATGTTTATGGCCCACATTCACTACTTTTCTTTCTTTACTTTATCACTTCACATTAACTATGTGACAGACTTTTCCAGCTTTCTGATAATCTCTAATACTCAATAAAAAGAATAAAAGTTGGTTTCATGTTATTTGATTCTATGAAACTCTACAATTTTATAATGGACTCTTTTTGTACATGCTTGAGTACTTAATGATTACATTCCTTGTGGGGAGTTGGTACATGTACATCCCAATTCTTTTTTCATCCCTTTCCCTCCCCTCCCCTTCCTCTTTCATTTCTCCCACACACACACTGGTGCTGGGAATCAAACTCAGGACCTTGTGCTTGCCAGGCAGGCATGGCACCACTGAGCTATATCACTGGCCTTCTTCCGTTTCTTGATCCCCTTCCCATTTGAGAAAGATCTATCTCCCCACTTCCTATTATCTATTTTTTATTTGCTCTGTTTATATTTTGGGCTTCATATAAGTGAAACAATGCAATATTTAAGCTTGTGTGTCTGATTTATTTCACTTAACATTGTGGTCTAAAAGTACATCCATTTTACAAATGACTCGAGTTTGTCTTTTTTATGGCAGAGTAGTGCTCCATTGTATGTAAATAACACATTTTCTTTATCCATCCTTGTGTCTTCCACCAACCTCAGTGCATAAGTAAACAGTTTTTCATTAAGCAATACATAAGCTACTTTCATCCAGTTCTTTTTAGGCTTACTCTACCTAGGTTTTGGGGGTTTTTTTCCTGCTAACTCACATAACTCATTTCTGTTCCCCAAATCCTAGCTGAGTTTTAGAGGGGATAATCAATGAAAGTAATAATTTGCTACACTTTGTTGAGAATAAGGAGATAAAACTTAATTTTAAAGTAGTCTGATAATAAAAGATGATGGTTTCTGAATATTTTTCTTCCAGGCACAGTATCCGTTCTCTATTTGATTTTTATTGTCACTTTGAAGGCCATTCGCTTGGGATTTCATTTGGAATTTCACTGGTTTGTGCCAACAGAATTTTTTGTACCAGGTGAGCTGTTTGGGAAAATAAAGAATTAATAAATTACAATAATATGATCTTTAAGTTAGTCATTATGCTATTTTAAAACAAATGATTTTTTTATGCTGAACATTTGATTAATCTTGTTAAGCTAAAAACAGGATTATGTTGGGATTTCTTGCAGTTAGGTGTAACCAAAGCCATTTGCCATTTCTACTTGGTAGTTAAAGTTCATTTAAATTATTATGCAATTGAAAAAAATCAAAAACTCATTGTGTAGACTAATATTGCTTATTAAAATCATTGTTCTCCATGTGGATTTTTGAATATTACTATTTTTTTGGCAAAAAGTATAATTGTTAAGGTTTGGCCTTCTCTTTCCTCTTTTTCCCCTTGTGATTATAACTTAGCAGTTTCTTTGGTTTCACCGAAGTTTAGAATATTCTGGATATGATAAAAGCACCTTAAAGGAAAAAATAAATAATGCTAAATGGAGAGTCAGATTAGATAATAGAATTAACTGTTATACAAGTATCATGAAAATTAGCAATGGAAAACAGCACACAGTTGTGTTGCTGGTTTAGAAAGATTGCTTTCTTTCCATTCGTCAACCCTCAGTTTAGACAGTCTAGATTTCCAAGTGTGTATTCAGTATCTACTATGTGTAATGTTATTTTCCACTCAATTTGTTTCTTTTGGTACAGCACTCCTGAGTTTTCCAGGTGTGTGGAGTTGGTGGTCATTGGAAGTTGTTATTTACATTTCCATGTTTTTTAGACCATTTGCCTATATTAGTTTTGATTTTTTTTCATTTCTGTTCATAGCCCACAAAGCCTCAAAAGTCAATGAGGATTCAGAATAAAGGAAGTATTGAGGCTTGAAAAAGCACTCTTTGCAAGATTATATTTAAAATTGGACATAAATGAAAATGGCAACTTTAAGCTTTTTGTCCATTGACTAATAAAAATAGTCTAAGATATTATTTTCTAAAATTAGGTCATTGTGATTTATAAAGAGTCTTAGTGATAATGATAGGACATCAGAAGTAGACATAAGGGAAGGAAAAATGGTTATTTAGAAAGCAGAAAAATATTTTAATAGACATAAGGTCATTGATTTCACATAGCTTAATTTTTAAATGATATGAAGGGAGAATCAGGGGGATTAAAAGATGCTCATATTAATATTTATTGCCTTGAAATTAATTACTGTATTTTGATTAAGGAATTTCTCAAGAATGAAAATATATCATAAATCTTTTTCAGTAGAATCAGAAATCTTGCCAGGCATGGTAGTGCACACCTGTAATCCCAACACTGGAGAAGCTAGTGAGTTCAAGGCCAGCCTGGACCAATAGCAAAACCCTGTCTCAAAACACACACACACACTCTCTCTCAGAAATCTAGAGGGGATGAATCTTACTAGCCTAATGAGAATTTCACATAAATTCTGATCAAATCTTTGCTTATGTATTTGTTTACTTATGTTTGTTTCTAAAACTTTTACTTTTTTTTTTTCTTGGTATGATGATTGAACACATGGTCTCATACATAGTAAGCAAACGCTATAGCACTGAGCTACATCCCTAGCCCTAAAAGTTTACCTTTCAATGCCATAGATCAATCTTTTTCTCAGGTAATTAGGGAAAAAATGAGAAAAATCCTACTTATATCAACCTACCTTTTCTTGCCTACCAAGGACTTTACTTTCACAGTAATCACTTCTTTCTCCTGGGTCATGGTATCATAACAGTTTTCCCCTACTGAACTATTCCTACCAGTATACAGCTATCTCCCAACATAAATGGGAAAAATTCATGTGGCCTCATACTGTCCTGCCTCTATTGCCTATGTCTATTTCACTTTTTTAAAAATTTAGGGATTGTCTTAGTTACTTTCTTTTGTTGCTGGGACAAAATACCTGACACCCAAAGTTAATTAAAGGAAGAAAGATTTATTTCAGTTCACAGTTTGTAGAGGTTTCAGTCCATAGTCAGCTAGCTCCAAGGTAGGTTGGTATGGCTGAGGGGCATTTCAGAGGAGAAACAGCTCATGGCATGGCAGTTCAGGCAGAAGGCAGCAAGCAGCAGCCTTCTTTTTATGCCTTTATATTCCATCCAGGCTGTAAACCTGTTGATTGGTGCCATCTACACCCCAAGTGGCACTTCCATTATCCACCCTCTTAATCCTAGATCACACCCTTAATCCACATTCACACACCCTAATCTAGCCACCTTTGAAACTTCCCTACACCCTAGGTGGTACTTCCAC